AGCAGATGTTCTATTTGGAGGAGGGTGGAATTACACAACTTACAGAAATTTAACCATCCCGGTACAATTTCATTCAAATGTTAGGGACGATAAAGAGTGAATATGGGCACTTGGTTTAACGTATCCCGTCTGGCACAATCTTAATATTTTCCACCGCCCCGAGAGAGCCAGCAGAAGCCACATAATGAAACGAGTTTTAACAATGTCAGTGCCATGAGTTAACTGTCTCTTAACTATACAACTGAGCGTCAAGAATAATTAACTGTTACAGTAATCAGACTTTTTCCTCTTATAATTTCATGGCAGATTTTCTGATGTGATCTTATGTTGGCTACTGGTGGAAACTTGTTTTAGTCCTGATGGTAAACACAGTATCTATGCTTTATAGGTAGAATTCCGCTGTATACTAATGCAAATTCGGCAATCTGATTGGCTTAACTACTCGACGCTGTCAGCGATTAGTGTGCAGTGGCTAGAGGAAAAATATGACGCCCAGGCGGAGTATGGGGTTTGGACGCCTGGATGTTGCTTATACAAGGTAGACGTGTTAATAAACCGCTGTAGATGTTTACCTTGCTTGCTTGCGGTTAGCACGGTTAGGTTTGCTTGCGGTTAGTGTCACTCCATTTTGCTTGCGGTTAGCCTCACTCCATTTTGTTTGCGGTTAGTGTCACTCCATTTTGCTTGCGGTTAGCTTTCATTTGTATGTTAGGGTAACTCTATGTTAATTTATATTACTGCTCATTATATGTAGTTTAAATTTTACATATCTGGCAGTTAGCAGCACGGTGGTACAATGGTAAGAAAGGGCACAGTGGCCCGGGTTCGACTCCCGGTGGGTGCAAAACTATGGGGTTCTTTTTCGTCATAAAATAGTTACAAGACTTAAAATTTTAAGTCATATTTAGTTGACATAGCGTTTCTTCGTTTAGAAATCCGAGAGGAAGTCACCCTCAATCTACGCCCGTGAGGTAGAAACACCCGTGGCTAGAGGTGGTCTACAAAATGGCAGCGTTTTCTCATTTTTTTTTTCTGATGAGAGCTTGTAAACAGCTCCAAGTTTTGAACAACAATTTAAACTGCGCGCATTTTTGCTTTTTTAAGCGTGAACTCAAGTACTTCTTTTAAAATATGTAGAGAAACAATCAAATACATAATTCTCATCTAATGGAAATGTCCAGCTCATAATCTAATTATTAAATAGTGTTTCATCATATTTATCCTGTATTTATTGCTGCAATCTTATTACACTGTATTTGTTCCACATTTGCCATGCATAATTATAATACCATATTTGGCTCACATTTGTCGGCTTTGATGCCCGAACAAATATAATATTACATAAATGATCTAACCGATTTGTCTTGTAGCCAAATGTACTGAAATTCATAGTAACACTCACGTCCATCTTCAAGGAATCCTTCCTTGCAGAAACAACTATAAGAACCAACAGTGTTGGCACAGTTCGCATTCTGGTCGTATTTATGGCTTCCATTGCCACGTTCGTCGACATCTCAGTAAACAGTAGATAAACAATAGCCTCCACTGACTTGATAAGAAAATATGCAGGGATATTTGTCCGCCGTCATTATCAGTTCCGAGAGCGTAACTCGAAGAAAACTGTGAGCTTCGAGGGACAGATAATGTCCAAGGAGAAATATCAGAGCATATTTTCGCGCCAAATGGAGGCTATTGTGCCTATTATCCTTCAGAAATTTTCGCAACACGCGCATTTTTAAAAATTGGGAAATATCACTCGGATATTCCTCAGTTTTAGCCGTGGAATATTCAGTCACATGACGTGTTTAGATCAATCGCGCGCGCGAGCGAAAATATTTGATGGATTCAAGAGACCATGATCTAAGAGAACACATCCCCCATACATGGGCCTCTTTCAGTGATAATCTTTTTCAATCTAATTTCAGCGTTTGGTCAAACTGCGAAGCTATTTTAGGAAAGACACCCGATTGGCCAATTTAATTGACGTAATAACAGTGAAGGTTTATTTTTAACAGTTAATCAAATATGCAAAAACTTGCACCTGGATCTTTGGAGCGCAGTTCATAAAGACCGAGGGAGAAAAATTCTAACTGTCTGGCACTTTAAAAGAGCCTTCCAAAGATATCTTATTCGCTTTAGGCCGTTCAGTACTTTTTGACAAACGACTTTAGAGTGGGTTAGAAAGGAATTCTTGTCAGCAACTATAGCGCGTAATCTGAATCAGTCATGCAGAGAAATGACAAGGTTAATAATTTTTGAAGTAAACTGAGGATAAACGCATAGAAGATATTTTCCTGCCCAGCGCTTTGAAAATGCTTTCCAGAGTTCAGAATACCCGGCCACTATATTTACATGTGCCGGTGTACTTTCAAGAACGAGGTATATAACAATAGTTGCTATTCTTATTCAATGAGATGCTAATAAGTGGCCGGGTA